GTGCTGCAAGCACAGTTGAAGCATAGAAAACCGCGGTTGGCGGAGCTACTCTCAACATCAATATTTAACTTGGTCTGCTGAATTCCGGTGACAGATGAAGATGTTTCTTCATCACCAACTTTGCAGATTCGTGTGAAATGGAGGGCCTATTTGCTTGAAATAACCCATCTGCACTGCCCTGGAAGAAGGCTGAAACACTGGTTGGTTGGCCAAAACTTGTGGTTTCAGTACCAGCAAACGCACTCTCAAGGTCAAGATTACTGTCGAGAAGAGTAAACTGTGTGATTCAGCCACACCAAAGATCTTTTCGGTACGGTATATTTCTGTACGATGAAACCTTAAAACGGACAATAAATGACCTCATGATTAATGATCATCTCATGGCGCATGGCTGGGTTGCGTTGGGTGTAGGTGGGTGTTGCGGCAACTCTGACAGAAGCGACGCTAAATTTTGTACGGGTTCTGGAGGATACAATACACTTGGGTTTTCTTGTCTCTAGAGACCTCAATAACGACTTGAGTTCTAGCTAATTTTTTTCTCGTTGCTTGTCTGCCTGGAGGGTCTACATGGTAAAAATATAATCAAATCAAACTGGGTTATGGTTTCAAGTAGTGGGTACTGTGAACCGTGTATCTAATCGGTTTTTGTGCACTTATATACCGGTGTAATGCACCAGCATAATGGTGACCATGAGATGTATAAGCTTCACTTGGCACCCCATAACCATTGTGGATACAATAATAAGGAAGAACTAAAAACCATGAATTGTGCTCAGAAATTTTGCCAAGCATTGAGAACAAACTGTAGAAGAGCCCTGGAAGCATTTTAGGGCTAAATGTCGGATGGACAAGGATGAGCCGACATGTGAAGCACTAGCATAACAAGGTTATTACCCAATCCCTACCTTCTAGCGGCGCTGCGCGGTCGATCTCGAAAACTTCTCCCCGCACCCGCCTCCAACGTAACCTCACCACACCGCCAGCTTCAACAACCATGGGAAAGGCCTCGAAACAACGTAAAGCCCGCACCAAGGCTGCGAGTGCGGCCGCCGCTCCGTACCCTCCCACTCCATTGTCGCCTACCTCTTCTTCCGATACCGAAGGCATCTCCTCCGTCGACCTCGCGATCACCACCGAAACCCTTGAAGCTCTCCTCGCAAAGCCTGCTCTTCTCAAATCAGCCGCTCATAAAAATCTCCGCACGATGATTCACAAGCTTCACGCAGCTATTCAAGGTGGTGAAGATGAGCTTGTTATCGCATTGAGAGCTGGAGAACACGAACACGCTCGGAACCTTCTCGCCACCATCAAGAACCCGAAGTTGGGAGCTCTGCAGAGATGGGTTAGGGAATGTGATGCTATCAACGACGGAAGTGATGAGTGCTGGAAGACTTTGGAGGCTATTATTCGAACAACTACCACTAGGGACAGTGCAATTGGAGCTTTGACGAGGTTCCAGCCGTGGAGACCGGAGACTAGTGAAGAAGCTTTACAGATTTACAGAGATGTTAAGCTTGGAAAGATTTGCTGTAGGTACCCCCAATGAACTACATAGGGAATATGCTGATGTACTTGGACAGCTCGAGAAGAGGCGGACCACTTCAAGAACTCCTTCAAAGTCCTACACACTATTCCCGTAAGACACTCTTACAAAATATCCCCCTGAACCCGATGCTAACCCAACCTAGGCCGCTGAACGTAAACCTCCGAACCTCCACCCGGCTATCATTTGGACCAGCAACGATAACACCATCCCATTCACTTCCACCGGCGACATCGCCGCCATACCTGTCCCCTCAGTTCCTAACGCCATTTTCCTCCAAAACGTTCTATCCAAAACCACTTGCCGCCAAATCATAGCCGCCGCTGAGACCATGGGCTTCACCCCCGACCAAGCCGCCGCAGGATCCGCTACCGAGCTAGCTTCTGTCCTTGCTCACAACTTTTACTGGATGGCCGATGAGGCTTTCTGTACCTCTCTGTTTGAACGCGTTAAGCCATTCTTGCCCGCTACTGTGAAGGGCCTTCCAGTAAAGTCGATTAACCGCAGGTTCAGATGCTATAGATACGTCCCAGGAGCGGTGTACAGGCCACACGTCGACGGTGCCTGGCCTCCGTCTGGAATCACTCCCAAGGGAGAATACGTTTACAACGCTTCTGACCCTGAGAAGCCAGAGTACTCTCGTTTTACTTTCTTGGTATACCTGAACGACGAGTTTGAGGGAGGAGAGACTACCTTCTTTGTGCCTGCGCCGGGCGAGGGGTTGGAAGCGCGTGGAGTTAAGCCGATGATGGGTAGTGTAGTAGTATTCCCTCATGGAGATGCAGAGGGCAGCTTGGTACATGAGGGAACTGGGGTGATCAAGGGTGCAAAGTACATCATCCGCACTGATGTTGTGTATGAAGTGCCCAAGAGTGGCAGAGCTGCAAAAGAGTAGTAATGGCTGGATTTGTGGGATACTTTTTGGAGTTATGGGTGTTATGTTTTTTCTCATTTAGTATAAAAGTTGGTATGTAGTTATTTAGGCGAATCAAATATCGTATTGGCACGAGTCAGAGGTTTAGGTTTGGGGATTTTTTCTCAGCTCTGATACGCAAAAGTAGATTGAGGTGCTAGCTAGGTGTATTCGCGCTTGTTTTCGAAAACAATGATCGAGGCTTCGTTAATCGCTTATCAATATGTTATGAGACGTAGTGGATCTGGATTCGAAGATACCAAGCTTATTGTGCTAGTTCAATAAGCCTTTGTCCAGAAATTTCAACAAAGTCGTTGAAAATAACAGCAGCAAAGGGTATTGATGACAAAATACATTATATTCTACCTCCAGAAACTTTCACCAGTGGCTATATATGCAGCTTCACATCGCATGTTATGTCGTTCAGTAGTCCACACAATTTAGCATATCAAAACCACCTTTCCAGCTGCTGCTGCTGCTGCTGTGTACAGTGCTCGTTGCTCGAAGCAACTACACTTTTTTGGATGCTGTACTATGTATTCATTTCCCAAAGACACCAATTTACCATACCAGGAGGTATTTTGTTTTTACAATCATATATATCTGGGCTATATTGAGCTATGTTTTTTTTTTAGATCCTTCACTTTCTTTATTTCAGAACTACTAGCTAGCTGGTACATATCCATCCAACCTCTGGAAATCCCGGTTTTCTGGATATTACTCAAACACAAGTCTAGATAGCTGCTAGTATCTTTTACCTTTTACCTAATAAATAGCCAACGAACTATCGGAGATTCAGAGATGCAGAGATCCGGCGTTTTTTTTACACGGGATAAAAATGGTGATACCGAACTTAAACCCCGAGTGCGATATTGTGAAGGTTTGTTCCGAAGACGCAGGCTCTTAGGCTCCTAGGCCCGCGGTCACCAGTGAGTTAACGAATAACTCTGAGGAGTAAGCGTGAATTAATGAATGCCTGTAATTTAGCATAGCATATAGGGAGTATTGATTGGCTACTTGAGCCGGTATGAATTTTGATCAATATCTCGGTAAGCTGATAGATAGATACTTCTAACTTTTGTTCGTGTACTAGGGGTGCGGAGTTCAGATATATCGTATGGTAGTCGTGTGATGGTCGTGTAATACAATTTTTACCCTTGTAGTCGCCCCTTGTATCCAAAACGCAGCAGTATCCCAGAAGCTAAGTCAAACCATCCCATATTAACACAAAAATTCCCTATACAATACTCGAACTCATAACCCTCATATATCCACATTCCAATCCCAAAATACAGTCACCATTACCTCAAATCTGACCCCATGAGTTCCTATATTCCTCACCACTCCTTCTCTCAATAACCAACACGGCAGCAACTGGAGCATCCAGCATGGTGTAAAGGAATCAGAAAGCCCTATATTCTCCAAGTATGATTCGACTACACCCACTATTACAATTCCCATCGAGTAGCTTCTGCCCACCGATATTCTGCTGGTTATTCCTTCCTTTTCATTTACAACGAAGCGGAGAAGTTGGTTCAAAGCCTGAGAGTACAGTCTTTACGATACATGATACCAGCAGTCACCCGCTAAAATAACAAACAATGAGCTCTGGAGACTTACAAAGCCTCACGCTTCTCCGCAGATTCCACATGATGATGAATGGGTTGATTTGTTTCTATGTATTTACATATCCGGTGGTGGAGTCTACTGGGAGCACCGATTCTTAATTAAAGATGGGGATGGAGGACAAACTTCTGAATACTCCTACGTGGCCAAGAACCAAGAGTGAGAGAGGAGTATGTAGATAGTTCCGTATTGAGGCGGCCCGGCGAAGAAAGCTGTAGTATAACTTAAGGTTCCCGCTGCCCATGGTGAAGATTACGGAGAATAGATATATTCTGCCGGGGAGATCTCAGTTAATCATTCGGATCTTAAAAAATCGAAACTAAGAACAAGCAGAAAGAAACCAACACCTGTCGGGGGTTTAAACTGCAACTTCGATAAATATGACTAATAACGGGTTGGTGTTATTAGTTTCAGGGGGGATTGATAAGTGATATGTACTAGGTACCATTGGCTGTGAGAAGTAGTTTAAAAATTATATGGATATATCATTTCATTACTTCCATAACCCGTTTCTTTTGTTTATAGTTCATACCAGGCAGTTACTTCTTTTCTCCTCCTCTATCTCCCCATATTTCTTTCCCTAGCTACAGTTAAAAAATCCGCAACCTCAGAACTGTTATATCGATATCAATATCAGCAAAAAACAGTACAACCCAATATAATCTATATCATTACCCCAATTCTGTTCCCTGCAAATTTGCCCCATCCCATCCCATCCCATCCCATCCCATCTCCATCCCATCCCATCCCATCTCCATCCCATCCCCTTTCACCACCCACATCCCTCTTTTACACAATCCCATACTCTTCGCCCCGCCAATCCCCCCCCCCCCCCCCGGGCCCCCGGGCCCCCGCGCTTCACAACTTAATCACATCTCCATAGCTTATATCCAACATAAACCATCGCCAAACATAACATCCCCCGTGGCGCAATTGGCTAGCGCGTCTGACTGTTAAAATAACGTAATCAGGAGGTTGGTGGTTCAAGCCCACCCGGAGGAGCTTAATTTTTTGATGATTTTTGGTCCCCCACCCACCGCGGTGGATGTTTTGTTTTGGTTATGGTTATGGGTTATGGGTTGGATTTGAGGATGGGGATTGGGGATTGGGGATTGGGGATTGGGGATTGGGGATTGGGGATTGGGGATTGGGGATTGGGGATTGGGGATTGGGGATTGGGGATTGGGGATTGGGGATTGGGGATTGGGGATTGGGGATTGGGGATTGGGTTATGGGTTATGGGTTATGGGTTATGGGTTGGGGATTGTGCTGTAGGCGAGGTATCTTGCATCTTGTATCTTACACCTTGCATCTTGCTCGTAGCTGTCAGCCTGCATCTCACTCGTAGCTCGCTTAGCATGATCTGGTATTTCTGTATATATAGTGATGTAGAATCTGGATATACCGGCAACTATGCAAAATGTTGGAGTTTAAACTTCGATTCATAATAATCCTACACAATCCTACACAATCCTACAACTACACAACCACAACACTTCTTCTTCTTCTTCTTCAAAAGACCCCAATTCTTTTCCGTCAACTCACCAGTTCCCCATAATCAATAACACCCAGTACAAGTTCTTTTAGCATTCAACGATGGTATTCGATATAAAATCCTCATTCATGGGTACTAGTAACTTTAAACCTAGTTAAGAGGAATCTGAAGTCTACAGAAACGTTTATGAAGTTTAATAAAACTTTTTACATGGACTACAAATTTATCGTGTCTATTTAGGGTTTATTTAATAATATGATTATGGAAAGAATGAATGTGGCTGGTGGCTGGTGGTAGATGTGTAGAATATATATAGAATATATAGGAAAAATGGAATATGTACATATACATAAAACCATTACATATGTTTTATAAAACTAAAATCGGGTATACGGGAGTTGCTTTTTTGGACTATATCTGATGCTTTCTCTGTAATATATTTAACATCTACACATCTAGCATCAACACATCTAGCATCTAACATCTACACATCTACACATCTAGCATCTACACATCTACACATCCAAAAATCCAACATATCCACCCGAGTTCTCTAATTCCCTTCCCTATTCCATAATTCCCTTCCCTATTCCATAATCTCATCAGTAACCAGTAATCATATCATATCATACAATCCCTCACCCTAACATTTTCCGGAGAAAAGATTATACTATTATATCGATTACCGATTACCGACTTCAAACTTGCATCAATATGTAACAATAACTTGCATCAAAATAAAATAACATCTGTACCTAAGTAACCTAACTTAATCAAACTGAATTATTCTTCACAACACCATAAGTAATTAACCAAAAAGGAAACCTATACCATTGTACCGATGCCTAGGCTACCACCATAAAGCTGTTATCATCCAACGGGAAGGCGAAGTCTTGAAGAATTCGAATTTTGCTGTTGGAGTGTTGGAATGTTGGAGTGTTGGAGTCACGACTCACTGGTTTGGTATGGGTGGCATAGGTTTGGTACAGGTTTATGTTTAAATAATAGTTTTTCAGTTCTTCTTTTCTTTCCCCATTTCTCTCTCCCCTTCTCTCTCTCTCCTTCTCTCTCTCCCCTCCTTCTCATTTTCTCTCGCTTTCTCCCCCCCCTTCCCGTTTCTTCCCTCTTCCCCCCACCCCCTCTTTTTCTTCTGTCTTTTAGAGAAAACAAGATATATACAGGATACAGGCTATACAACATACCCGGACCTTGAAACTTTGATTTGTCACTTAGAACTTCGGGTTACTTAGAACTTCAGAATTACTTGGGTTGGGTTGGATTGGATTAGGTATTAAAGAAGGATCAAGGTATCAAAGAAGGATTAAGATATCAACAGAAGCTCGCATGGGCTATAAGTTGTGGAAGTGGAATCGTGGAATAGGTGTACCGTATACGAGGACTTCATAAGCAACAGCAACAGTAACAGCAACAGTAACAGCAAGCAGTAGTTCAAAGACAAAAGACAAAAAAGGAAAAAAGGAAAAAGGAAAATCAATAAGGGTCTTTAAATCCATCACATCACATCTTTTTGTGGAGAAGTTTAGGGAGTGTTTTATCTACTTAATCTATCATGTATATATCTATTTATCTATTTATCTATGTATCTATCTATTTATTTATGTATATATCTATCTATTTATTTATCTATTTATCTATCAATCCATCTATCAATCTATCAATCCATCCATCAATCTATCTATCCATCAATCCATTTATCCATCTATCCAAAGAAAAAGACAAAGAAACCTATTGTTAAAACTCAGAAGATAAGATAGCCCATAGCCTACATGCTATATCCCAGGCTATATCCCAGGCTATATCCCAGTCGCATGTACCTACATATGGTGTCCATACCGATCAATCATCAAAAAATAAGCTAGCCGCTATAAGTATGTGTATGGAAGCTTCCACGGCAGTGGTGGTGGTGGTGGTCATAGCTCACCAGTGATCAAGCAGCATAACTAACAAGTCTACAAGTCTACAAGTCTATAACGATCTCCCTCTTCACCATCCTTATCCTTATCCATCATTATCCCTATCCCCATCCCCATGTATCCCCATCCCCATCATTATCCCATCACTATCACCATCCTCATCCCTATCACTATCTTCATCGGCAGGATCCGTAATTGGTTATTAGTTATTAATTATTTTAGTTTTAATATATCAGTATGCACACGCTATGGTGCGTATAATTCCGCGCGCGCGTGTGTGTATGTGTGTATGTGTGTGTGTAACACCGGCGGGTTCCGGCACCTCACCTCGCACCTCACCTCGCACCGCGCATCGCAGGTCGCATCGCATGAAGCTAGATGCTGGGTGTTATCGAAGCTAGAAGCCGGATGCTAGAAGCTAGATGCTGGGTGTTATCGAAGCCAGAGGAAGGAAGGATTGGAAGGATTGGAAGGATTGGAAGGATTGGAAGGATTGGAGGGATTGGAAGGATTGGAAGGATTGGAGGGATTGGAAGGATTGGAAGGATTGATCGGGTCGCATCGACATGGCTTTAGAGGAACTTGGTATATGGATGGATGGGGATTTGATGGAAGGTGGAGAAAGTGGATATGGTGGATATGGTAGATATGGTAAATAATGTGAATAATGTGAATATACTGTTGTAGATGATGGATGGTATGGATGGTATGGATAGATGAAATACGCGCGGATGAGGATGAGGATGGGGATGGGATGGGATATGATATGGTATGATATGGTATTGTAGAGACGAAGATGGAGAGGGAGATGGTGATGGTGATGTCTGTGCTTGCCTGTGCTTGCCTCAAATATGGTGTTGTGTTGAATGTCCAAATGGGGTCCATAGTCACGAGTATCAACCGTGCGTGAGACGCCCCCCGCCGCTGCGGTACGTTGTGCTCCGGAAACAAAAACAATGCGCAATGCACAATGCATATGTACAGTTACAGTAGCTGGGTCGGGTCGCTTATCAACGGCCCGTCAAAAAGCATAGGTCACGGGTGGGTTACCGGTAACTGTACTTGCTCGTTCCTGGAAACTACGTCAGGGCATCGGTGATCCGAAACCGGTGGGTTGCTGGGTGCTGGGTGCAGTTGAGTTGAGGAGAGGAGAGGTAAGGAGATAACGAACGATTGATAGATTAGAGAGATAGATAGAGAAATAGATAGATTGCAAGACGAGCGAGCGAGTAAGTGAGTGTAGCTATAACCACCCCCCCCCCCCCCTCACCTCACGTCTTTCTTCTTCTTCTTCTTCTTCTTCTTCTTCTTCTTCTTCTTCTTCTTCTCCTTCTTCCTCTTCTTCTCTTTCTCTGCTCTGCTCTCTATCCTCAACTCTCTTCTCCTCGCTACAACTACCCATAGCAACATGGCTTCGTCTCTAAGATTCAATCTCGCTACACGTAGCATAGCTCCTCGAAGCTCTGTTTTCCTAACAACAAAGCAAGCACGCACAATAGCTTATGTCCCACCCCGTAGAGCTTCCACCACTCCCAAGTTACAAGCTACCATTGTCGCCAATGGATCGCATGGTACCGCGAATGGACATCAACATCAACACCAGCATCACAACAATGAGAACTCCTCGTCCTCGTCTTCGTCCTCGTCGCCGCAGCAGCAACAAACACCCACATCTACACCCAAACCAGGACCGCTGGCAAGAATCCCGACTTCTCATCTGGTACGATCGCTACTTTTACATACCATCACCTCGAACCCTACACTTTTGAAGGTCGGCTCAACAATTATGACAAAGACGGCCGATAGGATTGATTTTATTCCCCCGCTGAAATGGGTTGTTGATAAGACGTTTTATGTATGTTCTATTTTTTTTTCTTTTTTTTTTTTTTTTTTTTTTTTTTGGGTGTAATATCGGTTGTCATATTGTGGGTTTTAGCCGTGATATTTACTCTACCTCCCGGTGGGTAATATTCCGATGGAGCCAAAAGATGTAGTGTCACTAGACTGCTGCTCTATATATCCCGATTTATCCTTTCCTCACAATGCAATGCATAAACAACCCTTGACTACGCATGACGATGTATGACAACATATATCGACGTCATACAAAGCAGCAATCCGCTTACCAAACCACCCCTCAAATCTTCCGCATCCCATCACTAACCCTAATTTTCCTCCCCAGGCCCAATTCTGCGCCGGCGCAACCCCAACATCCATCAGCACCACCATCTCCTCCTTACGATCCCTAGGCTACACTGGCATAATCCTCGCCTACGCACGAGAAGTCGATTCCACCACCTCATCCTCCAATGTCACCACCACCTCCTCCGCATCCTCCGAAATCCAACAATGGCTCACCGGCACCCTCCGTACCATCTCCCTCTGCACCCCCCAAGATTTCCTGGCCATAAAATTCACCGGGGCAGGGCGCAGCGTAATCCCAGTGCTACGGGACCAACGACCCTGCACCGATCTCCCCGGAATGGACCTCGCAATCGAAACCATCTGTTCCGCCGCGAAGGAAAAAGGTGTGGGCTTACTAGTCGATGCCGAGCAAGCAGCTTTACAACCCG